TTTTGATGTTCACAGCAAAGATCTCTAACTCCTCAAATGCATCCTTTCCAAGCCTTGAGTGATTTTTCCCCCCTACCATGCACCCCCCCCCAAATAGCTAGTGAGAACGCTCTGCAAAGCTGCTACAGTACTTGCCTCTAATGGAAATGGGTTGAGTAATGGTGGAGGTGGCTTAAAAACAGGAAGCCCGGTGGGGTTGGGAAGCCAACTTTGCTGCGGCCCCTTCCAACCCTCTCAGTTTCATCTGCCCCTTTACCTGTCCTCCCACAGCCCCTAAAAGGGCTCTTCGTTCTTAGTTACTATCTGAAGATACTACCCCGAGTCATTCCTCCTGCTAATTCTGGAGGTTGCAGAAACATCATCGCGAAGAGCTAATTTGCATGGAATACCCCGAAGGCAAGATGACTTTGAATGTTTTAATAAATGAGAAATTAGGACTTAATAATGCAGTGAAAATCTATTAACCCTTCTTGATTGCTGTGTGGCTCCCTTTTATTTCCAGGCAATGTTTTTACTCGTTCGACTCAAGTTGTTTGCAATTGGGTGTTGGAAATGCACCCGCCGTTTTAACACCCTGGTTCTCCGCTGTTTAACTTTCTCATTCGCACGGTTCTCAGCCTCTCCGTTATTCATTGCCAAAAGCGAAAATTTGAAACTCTCCCTTGATATTCAAGAGTTTGGCGGAATGTATTGAGAGTTTTAATTTCAGCTCAGAGGCTGGGCGTATCTTAACGCCGTTGCGGTAATGCGTGCTTTTATTAAATTGTCCGTTCAAGCTGGATTTGGTCTGATTTGCAAGGGAACAATAGCAATATCATTAATAACATCTGCCTCATCTGAAGAAGTTGGTTGACAGCCACTCCGATCATATTTCGGAAGGGTGTTAAACAGGGCTGTTCCAAAGAGCCTGTAATAAAGGAAAATATTTGTACCTCAGGGTTGGAAGGAGGGGTCCTTGGTGCTCTCTGAGCTGGGTTGTTTTCCTTGCAGATGTTTCGTTACCCAACTAGGTAACTTCATCAGTCCTAGAAGGGAGTGAGGTCACTCAATGTTAATAGAATAGAATAAATAGGATAGGATAGGATAGGATAGAATAAGGAGTAGAGTAGAGTAGAGTAGAGTAGAATAGAATAGAATAGAATAGAATAGAATAGAATAGAATAGAATAGAATAGAATAGAGAAAGAATAGAATAGAAATAGAATGGAATGGAATGGAATAGAATAGAATAGAATAGAATAGAATAGAATAGAATAGAATAGAATAGAATAGAATAGAATAGAATATAGGATAATATAGGAATGAATGGAATAGAATAAAAGATAGGACAATATAGGAATAGAATAGAATAGAATATGGAATGAAAGAATAGGATAGAATAAGAATAGAATAGAATAGAATAGAATAGAATAGAATAGAATTCTTTCTTGTTGGCCAAGTGTGATTGGACGCACAAGGAATTTGTCTTGGTGCAAATGTTAAGTGAATTTTGTCCCATTTTACGACATTTCTTGCCCCAGTCTTTAAGTGAATCCCTGCAGTTGTTCAAGTTAGCAACAAAGTTGCTAAGTGAATCTGATTTTCCCATTGTCAGAAGGTGGCAAAAGGGGAACACCTGAACCAGGCATCTGAATTTTCATCATGGGACCATGGGGACGGGGTGTGTGTGCTCCAATACTCATAAGTCAACTTTTTTTCAATGCCGTCATAACTGTGAACCATCACTAAATGAACTATTGTAAGTCAAGGACCTACTTCTACAGGAATTGCTCCCCCCCTCCCCCCGTGGGTGCTATTGTTTAATTTTTTTTCCTCTCTCTCTGTCTTTAATTTAAAGTTACCATGCTTACTGTTTTGTATTCAGTAAATGGCTGGAACTGTTCTGGAATATGTCATTATAGAATTGTATTTTTAAAAAAAAACCTAAAGAAAAAAATAAAGCCATCTAATCGTGGCAGGAATAAAAAAAAAAATTCTGGGGTTGAAGTCCCTGTAGCCATGTCCAGCTCTGTGTGTGTGTGTGTGTGTGTGTGTGTGTGTGTGTGTGTCTTTGGTGTATCTACACACTCACACAAACATATTTGCAGAAATAGGGCAGCTTCTCTCTCTCCTCTTCTCCTTCCCTCCTTCCCTCTCAATATATCTATTGATTGTCCTACTTCTGCAAATATTTTAAGGGAGGGGGAAAGAGCTGTCTCTTCTGCCATTACTGGGTTGTGATTGCCGTTCCGTGTCACAAGCACAAAATTAATTATCCCCTAATGACCGTAGCGTTAGACCAACAGGGAAAAAAAATAAAAATCCCCCCACGGTTTTTGGCGCTGACTAGAAACACCCTAATTGGATCTCATTGAATCTGATCCAAATGAATCCTGTGAAAAATAAAATACATCCAGCATCTTTTGTGTTGGAAATGTCGCATTGAAAGGAGATTGCTTTTCATGTTTGCGTGCTCGTTCGTTGCCCCTTTATTTCTTCATTTGGGGGGGGGTGTTATTTGATGGCGAAGAGGTGAGAGACCGAAGGGGATGGAGAATGGAACAGAGCTAAAGGTCGTGGTGGCGGGGTGCGCTTGCCAAAATAGTTAAAGCTCTTGCCCTAATTTTTTAAGATTTTAGCGATGCTTGTTAGCGTGGTTCTTCAACGATGGAATGAATTTGAGAGCTTTTCAAGGAAATATCATCAGTTTGGCATTGAAGCAGCGGTGGGATTCAAAAAAAATAAATAAATTACTACCAGTTCTATGGGTGTGGCTTGGTGGGCGGGGCAGGGGAAGCATACTGCAAAATCCCCCTTCCCTCCCCACCCCACTAACCTGCTTTCCAGCTCTGTTCTCCTGTGCAGGGCAACCAAAGGAGACCCAGCCGCTCAGCTGGGACTCAATGGGAGGCAGAGAATAGATGGGGTGGGGCCAGTCAGAGGTGGTATTTTGAGTAGTTCTCCGAACTACTCAAAATTTCCGCTACTGGTTCTCCAGAACTGGTCAGAACCGGCTGAATACCACCTCTGCATTGAACATACATCAACCTTGAGGTTTTCTGGTATGGAAAGTAAAGCTCTCGATGGCTTGAAACTCTGTCGATTGTAAAATGTGTAAAATGGCTGAAACTCAAATCAGAATAGCAATTGTATATCTGTTTTCATCTGTTGGCACCAGCAGTAATTTGACTCTGATCTCCTCCAATCCTTCCTTTTTTTTTTCTTTCCTTCCTTCTCTCTTTTTTCCCCTCTGTCCCTCCTTCCTTCCCTTCCTTTCTGCCTCCTGCTTCCATTTTTTTTTGGGGGGGGGTGCCTCACTAGGAGAGGAAGCGCTGACCATGTATATGGACAAAAACCGACTTGACCGGAAGTCGGGGAATGCCACCCAAAGTGTTGAGTCCCTTCACCAGCTTGCCTCTTCATATTTTGTGGACCGGGATGGTACCATGAGACGTCTCCATGAAATTCAGATCTCCACAGGAGCAATCAAGGTACAGCTTGCTTTAGAAACACAGGTAGTTTGGTTTGAGCCAAATAAGTGGGGAAAAACCAGATCCTGGGAAAGGCGTTTCTCCTTTTCTATTTTTCAAATTTTGCTTCCACCACCCTGATCGTTCATCTTTTAATGACCTTATAATCCCTTGGGGATGGAGTCTGGGCAATTGAATGGAGCTAGCAGAGTGTTTACTGGCCAGATGCCCTTCCTGCCACCAATGCGGAGTTTTGTTCAGCAGATATATTCTCATTGTGCCCAGGGAGAGAAATATCTGCCTCTACCTGGGATCTAACTCACAGCCTCCTGATTGTGAGGCGAGAGCACCACCTCTAGGCCGCCACATCAACATCTTGATGTCAGTGCCTATTTTTTCCCCACCCTGCCCAACAGTTACATAAAGTCTAAAACGATATTCCGGTTGATCTTCTAAATGGTCTTAATTGTAAGCCTGAGAATATATTCTGGATTTCCACCCCCAGAAGTGTGTTTGATGGTGTCCAAGTTGCAGGAATTGGGTATGGCTAGTCTAGAGAAAAGAAGGACATGGGGTGACATGATAGCAGGATTTCAGTATTTGAGGGGCTGCCACAAAGAAGTGGGAGTCAATGTATTTTTCAAAGCACCAGAAGGCAAGAGAAGAAGGTTCTTCAGTTCTTCAGAAGGCAACTGGACTCTCCTTGAAGATGGTTCACTTCTCACCCAATGAGGTTCTTCAGTTCTGACTTCAGAACTTCAATCAGAACTGAAGAAGCTTCTTGGATGAGAAGCAACATGTCTTCAAGGAAAAAAAACCAAGCCCAGTTGCCTCTTGAAAAATCACATTTGGGACTGAATGTCTATGGAGATTCTCAGTCATCCAGGTCATGTCTATCCCCAAGGTGCTTTTTCAAGAAGCAACTGGACGTTCTTGTTTTTCCTTGAAGAGGTTTCGCTTCTCATCCAAGGAACTTCTTCGGTTCTAGTGGAGGATGGAAGTCCAGTTACCTTTTGAGGAAGTGCCTTTGGGAGAACTTTAGGAACAGCTATCAATCAGTGTGCCTCCAGAGAGGCAGTGTGAAAAGACATATCTCATTCTTGACAATCTTTTCTTCCTGCACACCTGCTTAGAAGTCAGTTAAGTGGCTTTTTGGTGTGTGAGTGAGCGGAAAGCACCATGCACCTAGTGAAAAACATCAGAAGTGCTCCATAACACAGTTCACAGGATGGGATAATGACCAGGGCAAAGGTCCTTTGAGAGCTTCAAAGAGAAGGGAAAACTATCTCGAGCTCCTTAGCAATTGACCTACAAAACTGTGGATAGAAGAGAGTTTCCATAAAGGTTTGGCCTTTGTCACTGTATAGGAGATCAGATTTTGTTTATGAGGCTGAGAGTGCTTGAAGGTGCCAGAGAGATGTGCTGAAAGCATCTGAAGTTTGAGAAGAGGAGAGTTGGGTGCATTTTGACGGTTGATGTGTAAGGTTTGAAAGTAGACATGCTCCTTTGATCTACTTGCTAGAAGTTATTCCACTCAGAATGTGCCTTTCCCAACGGGCTCAAAAGCAGCATGATGGTGGTTAGAAGCATGACCACAACTTCAATGCTTTCAGCAAAACTAGCACAAAATACGGGGTGGGGGAGAGAGAAAAAAGAAAGAGAGAGGGAGAGAAAGAGAGGGGAGAGAAAGAAAGAAAGAAAGAAAGAAAGAAAGAAAGAAAGAAAGAAAGAAAGAAAGAAAGAAAGAAAGAAAGAAAGAAAGAAAGAAAGAAAGAAAGAGATGGAGTCTGTTTATATCTACTGTATATCTATATCCAAGATGGGGGAGGGAGGGAGAGAGAGGGGGAGAGAGAGATGGAGTCTGTTTATATGTATTGTATATTTATATCAGAGAAAGAAAGAGAGGGAGAGACGGAAAGATAGAGAGACACACACACAGAGAGAGGGAGGGAGAGGGAAGGAGAGAGACAGAGAGAAAGGGAGAGAAAGAGAGAGAGATTGCTTTCAAGTCAGTGTTGAATTCTAGTGATTGCCTGGACATTTTTCTGAAGTTATCTTGGTAAGATTTGGGATGTGGCTAATATTGCCTGCTTCCTAAGGCTGACAGAGAGGGACTGGCCCAAGGTCACCCAGTTGGCTTGATGCCTAAGGCAGGGTTAGAACTTATGCCCTCTGTCTATGGAGATTCTCAATCGTCCAGGTCACGGCTGCCCCAAAGGTGCTGAAGAACTGAAGAAGCTTCTTGGATGAGAAGCCAAATGTTTTCAAAGAAAAACAACAACAACAACCAAGCAAGTTCACTTGGAAAAAGCACTTTTGGGTTATATAGTCCTCTCATGTCTAACTTGGTGCCTCAGCCCTACACCAAGCAGGTTCTCTCAGGTGAAGGGGTAGGGCTTCTCAAAAGAAGGACTAGGGGTAACACAATAGCTGTGTTCCATTATCTAAGGGGCTGACACAAAGAAGAGGGGGGAGGTGTCAACCTATTCTCCAATAATAATCAAGGAAAGAAGCAACTCTGGAATTAAGAAATTATCAGTGAGAACAATTAATCAGTGGAATGACTTGTCCCAAGAAGTTGTGAGTGCTCCAACACTGGAGGGTTTTAAGAGGTAGATTGGACAACCATTTGTCTGAAATAGTATGGAGTTTCCTGCACGAGCAGGAGTTGGACTAGAAGACCTCCAAAGTCCCTTCCAACTCTGTGATTCTGTTAAGAGTACATACCTATCCCCTTTTCAAGTCTGCAGCTAAGCCTTTGATCTGTTGCCTACTTTCCCGTCCTTACCTTGGCCTCCTTCTTGGGGTCTTGGTCCCATTCTGTCCACGCTTTGACCAAAGTGTTTCACTTGCTGCTAAGCCCACTCGTCAATGGGGCAGATGCTATGGTTTCACTTCCTTTGGATGTTTTCCAGGTTACCGAAACGCGGACAGGTCCCCTGGGCTGCAACAGTTATGACAATCTGGACTCTGTGAGTTCTGTCCTTCTACAAAGCACAGAGAGCAAACTCCATCTCCAAGGTAAGGGGGAAAGGGGGATAAAAGGCACAACCATCCAGACTTGGTGGCAGTGTCCCTTCTCAACTCTCTAACATCTCTGTCCTTTGCAAGGTGTTTCAAGGAACTGTACTCAGGTGAGATGTGGTTTATCTAAAACCGTGTCTTGTATGCGTGCACAAGGGTTCATAGAGCTGTTCCTTCCTCCCAGCTTCCAAGTGGTTTCTGGTCAAAAAACAATAGACGTTGGTGAGTTGTGTGGCTGCGGTTATTGTTGTTTTCCACCATTGCAGATTCTTGCGACACTTTACACCGGGTTGGCAACGCGATCGGAGGGGACTGAAATTGTCATCCATTACCAGCAGGCCTGCAAATAGTTACTAATGAGGGAGTTATACAGCAGCTGAGAATACTAAGGTTTCCGTTAATTATTTTGAGTTGTACCTTCTAGAGGGTGGAGCGAGTAGAAAAATGGAGAAGGTAAAAGGCACACTTTTAAAGGTCGCTGGTAATGATCAGTCTTGTTTATCCTTCTCTCCTGCTGAGAACCTTCCGTCATTCTTGCCTATATACTTTTGAGTGACGCGGATTCACACAGTTGGTTGATTTCAGTTCTGGTCTTCCGTTCTGAACGTTACATTTTTAAAAAGATCTGAGCAGATTTGAGCAGGTTCCGAGAAGAAGATACTGGAGTTGTGTATGAAATAAAGGCAGTTGTGCATGTATAAGCAAGTCACAATTGGTAATGGAGAGAAGAGGAGGAGGAGGAGGAGGAGGAGGAGGAGGAGGAGGAGGAGGAGGA